CGCTTCATTCTTGATCATCTTACAATAAAATTGCTTTTAGCCTCAATCCCTTCTCAACAAAGTCTACGTCCAGTACTCCAATAATCCAATTGCTATTCGTAAATGGCTTTTGGCAAAAACAAACAACTCCAGAGTCAATCCACTCAATCAAGTGATGATGATATGGAAGAAAAGGCTGACAGGGAAGTTCCATTAACTCAAAATAAAGAAAAAGATGATAAGCCGTTGCTTGAAGAAGTCAGATTTATCAGTGCTCCTACATCTAAAAATGCGGGGGGTGCCAAAGTTTGGATATGTAAGCATTGTAATCAAAGATTTACAAACTCTTACACTCAGATACATATCCATTTGTTTGGTACGGCAATTGGCAAGAAAGCTGAAATTAAACGGTGCCCTGCTTTACTCAAGGATCGGGAGAAGTATGAACAATTGTTGAAAAAAGTCCAGGCAGCTGAAAAAACGGGAGTCTCTCGATCCTTGAAAAACTCTATGCTCAATAAACCACAAAATATCTTTTCAAAAAAACCAATTCAAGACTCCTTGGGAATAATGGAGAGAAGTATGGTGGATTTGAAAGTCATGAGAGGATTGTGTGCAAATGGTATTCCTTTTAATGTACTGCGCAATCCTCAATTTATAGAAATGGTAAGTGCAATCAACAAAGCACCCGCCGGTTACAAGCCTCCATCAAGTGAGAAAGCAAGGACTATTTTGCTGGATGAATGCGTTAGAGATGCGGAAAAGGATCTAACACATGTTAAACACACTTGGTACTCACAAGGTGTTTCTATCGTATCCGATGGATGGTCTAATATCAATCACAGACCATTAATCAACGTTATAGCGGTAAACAGTCGTGGTGCAATGTTCATGTACGCTGAGGACTTCTCTGGTTTAGAAAAAATGGGTGTGGCAATTGCAAATTTCTTAATTGGATCAATTGAAACTATATGACCGAGCAATGTCCTTCAAGTTGTGACCGACAACGTAGCGAATTGCAAAGCCGCGAGTAGGGAAATTTAAAAGGTACACAAACACATATTTTGGTCTCCTTATTGTGTTCATACTTTGAATTTGATTTTCAAAGACCTCGCAAAGGAACTTGATTGGTTGATGAATACATATAGGAGAGGGAAAGTTATTGTGAAATATTTTCTTAATCACACCCAAGCCTTGGCCATTTTTAGAGATAATTCAAAGTTAGAGTTGTTGAAAGTTGCCAACACTCGGTTTGCATCCCATTATATTTTTTTGAAAAGATTGTGGAATTGTAGAGAAGCCCTTGCTACGACTATTGCTCTTAATTCGTGGAGAGATTGGGTAAAACAAGGGGATGAAAGTGCAAGAGTTATTGGATTGTTAGTTGCTGAGACTATTAGGAGTGAAGAATTTTGGGATGATGTTGATAACATTCTTGCAATAACAAAGCCAATTTTCTTGCTAATCAAGTTTTGCGATGGTTAAGGGTAAAAAATGGGAGAAATATATGAGAAAATGGATAACGTGTTAGGGGAAATAAAAGATATCATGGCTACTAATCAATATGCTTCATCCTTTTCAAAAGTGGAGGCTATTGTGTTAGCTAGGTGGGAGAAGATGACCATTCCTTTGCACTGTTTGGGTTTCGCTTTATCACCGCGGTTTTATGATGTTTATTATCTTGAGAAATTAGCACCTGGTGGAGTTGCTAGAAAAGCTCCCAATTTGGATAAAGAAGTTGTGTTAGGTGTGATGGAGGCTTTTAAAAAATTGGCGAAACCCCCGAAGAACAACAGCTCTTAAGAGAATAGTTTACAAGGTTCACATGAAGAAGGGATTGTTTGCTATGACGGCAGCTCAGATGGATGCAGTGACTATGGAGGCTATTGTTGGTGGTCATCATATGGTTTAAAGACACCTGAATTGGCAGAGGTTGCAAAGAAGGTTCTGTCGCAGCCTATAAGTAGTTCCTCGGCTGAGAGGAATTGGAGCACTTACTCTTACATTCACAGTGTGAAAAGAAATCGTTTGAATTGGAAAAGGGCTGATAAGTTGGTGTTCATTCATTCAAACATTCGTCTTCAATAACGATTTTCTTAAAGTTACAAAGTTGGTCCCAATAAGAAGTGGGATATTAATCCTGAAAGTGCGTACGTGGAAGGGTCAAGTGCAAGACTCGATGAGTTGCAATGGGAAGACTTAGAGGAAGATGTTGCTCCAAAGGACAAAGGAAAGAGGCCAAGGATAGACTAGTTTGCTTGAAGCTTATGTTTAATGTTTTATTGAATTTTGTTTAATGTTTATTTCCTGTTTTCTTGAAGTTATTGCTGGAATCCTGAAACTTTGTTTGCTTTTTTATAGCTTCTATTGTTCTTGCAAACTTTATTATGTTTGTTTAATGTTATTGATTGAATTTATTAATATATTATTAATTATATTTATACTTATTAAAATTTATATGTTTATGGTTCACCGTACCATACAAAAAGGGTACAGCGTACCGCGTACCGAAATCGCATACCGAAGAATCCTACCCCCCTCCCCAGTATCAGATTTTTAATATTCGCGATCCGCGTTCCCCTTTTCGTACCGCCTACCGAAGTGTACCGCGATCTGTGTGACTAGGGTTTGAAGCATGGATTCGGTGGAGTTCACACTCTTTGATAAGTTTATTCCCCCCTACTATCATCATTTTTTAGGGGGGGCTTCAAGAAACTTGGTTCCTTGGGAGACTTGGTTTGTGTGGGAGGCAACGACAAAAACCCTCGGCTCCCCCCTCGGTGTTTAACCTTCCGGGTTTCGAGGGGTTTGAGAGTCGTTTCCTCGACCCGAGACATAGTCTGTTGCCTGCCTCCCCTTGGGGGACGGCGCGGAAAGCGTCTCAGTTTTGAAAGTCGTTCCCTCAGCCCGAGACATAGTCTGTTGCCTGCTTCCCCTTGGGGGATAGCGCCGGAAGCGTTTCGTTTGTGAAAGTCGAATCCTGGGTCCGGGACATAGTCCGTTGCCTGCCAGTCCCTTGGGAAATGGCGCGGAAAGCGTTTCTGGGAAGGGTTTTATTTGTGTGTGGGACACAAATAGCCGGAGGTACTTGGTACCTTCCGGGGCCGAGGGGTAGTGATCGGTTATATATTCATCTAATGTGAGAAATGAGAAGGAATCTCAACCCTTAGATCTTCACAAATCATACGTTTGCAGCAGGGGTGGTTTTGGTATTGCACCTATTCTTTCTATTTTAACGTATGACCGATTGACCAATCCCTACAATTCTGATCGCTTATTTCTTTCCTTATCTACGTTCGCCTTCTCTATTTCCATTCGTATCATCGTTTCCTTCAACTGGAACGATTGATTTTATTCTCAATCAGAAGCATCTTCTTCATTAGCGTTCTTCATAATCTTAAAGAGTTCCTATTCTCTACCCGTCATCATGGAACCAGGTTCATACATTATGTTGTTATTTTTCTTCTATCTTCAATTCCATGCGTACTGTGTTTTTATTTCATTTTAATGCTTATATTCGTCTTTTATTTCATTAGCTAAATATTTGTGAAATGGTATTTTTGCATTCTTCATTGGAATGAACTTTTCTCTAAAATTTTATTTTCACCGAAACTTATTGCAGTATGATTAATCATCTTTATTGGCTACGTATTATTTATTCATCTTCATGAATTTTTTACCTTGCATGTCTTCATATTATTGCTACAGGTTCTTCATAAATATATACGAAATCTTTTATTGTGTTTAACTTTTTTAACTTTTTGGATGGCAGAGCGAGAAAATATTTCTGGTTCTAACCATATGCATTCTCAAAGTCCAACACATTCCTCTGAACCTATCCAGCTAACTGTGTGTCCATACACATCAAAATATTGGATTCTAGAATGTGATGAAGCTTACAAGCCTAATGTTGGCATGTTATTTGCCTCTTTGAATGACAGCATTGAATTTTATAAAAACTATGCGTCCGTGTCTGGTTTTACTACTCGCATAAGTACCATATCAAAGGCTAAAGACGACATTCTAGTTTCTCGTTATATGCTTTGTAACAGAGCCGATTTAAAAAAAAAACCTGTGAATAACGAAATGAGACCATCAGAAAATATTGAAGGTAAAAAGAAGTGCACGAGATGTCGTGTTACCAATAGATGTGGATGTATGGCCCGTGTTATATTCAGACTTAATGGGACTGCAAGTTTCAAAGTTTCATTTTTTCAAGAATGCCATAATCATCCCATGTCTTCTACTGAGTCAAGACCGTTCTTGAAGGTGAATAGGAATCTTGACATTGGTCATCAAAAGTTCATTTTGAACTGTTCAAAAGCAAACATAGGCACAATGAAAAGTTATAAGTTATATAAAGAGCATGTTGGTGGATATAGGAACGTTGGTGTTACCACCGTAGATTTTAAAAATTTTAAAAGGGATTTGAAAGCATATTTTGCTGGAGCAGATGCACAAATGCTTGTTGATAAGTTATTTAGAAAACAAGAAGTTTCTCCTGCTTTCAGGTTTTGTTACGATGTTGATGAAACTGACTAGTTGACTAGACTGTTCTGGATTGACCCGACTGCGAGGAAAAATTATGCGCTCTTTGGTGATGTAATTTCCTTCGATGCTACTTTCAAGACGAACCGGTATTTTTTTATTTTAGCATTATTTTTGTTTACGTTTATGTACTTGAATTACGTTGTTCTCTAAGTTGCAGTGGTATTTCATGTTTAGTGCAGTGCAGATACTTATTACGATAATGCATTACTAACATTTTTAATCATAATTGCTAACATTTTAATTTTACCTTTATTTTATGTATGAGTTTATAATTTTTTGTTTCATTATATACTCAAGCAAAGAATATGTTTACGAGTGTGTACTTATGTGTGTTTTGTCTGTTTTCCTATTTTTGCACCACAACAATTGTACTTGCATTACATTGTTCTCTAAGTTGCAAAGGTACTTCATGTTTAGTGCACTACAGATACATATTATGGTAATGCATTACTAACATTTTTTACAATCAGGTACAATATGGTGTTTACACCGTTTACCGGAGTTGATAACCATAAAAAATGTGTTACTTTTGGAGCTGGTTTGTTGCTTAAAGAGGATGTGGAGTCTTACGTTTGGGTGTTTCATTGTTTTCTCGATGTCGTGGGTCGTGAGCCAAGTTGCATCATCACGGACCAAGACCCGTCTATGCGGATTGCAATTGAAAAGGTATTCACACGCGCTCGTCATCGATATTGCATGTGGCATATCATGTCCAAGCTTACTCAAAAAGTTGGTCTTGTGTTAAGCAAAGATGAAGACTTTTTAAAAAAGAATAATATTCTTGTTTGGAGCCAGTATATTGAGCCATATATCTTTGAAAAACATTGGATCTCAATCATGGAGGAGTTTGACCTCTCTAATCACCCCTTGTTTTCAAATCTTTTTCAATTGTGTCAGTTTTGGATTCCCTCATATTTTCGAGATTTGTATATGGGTGGGTTACTTCGAACAACATCTCGGTCTGAAAGTGAAAACAACTTTTTTGGGGAATTTTCAAACCCCCATTTAAGTCTGATCGAATTTTATATGCGATTTGAGAGCGCTATGGATTCACAGAGACATTTGCTAAATTAAACTCTGGTTCGGAATCGTTTATACCCGTGTACAAGACCCCCTTGGGTATTCAACGTCATGCATCATCACTCTACTCCCTTTCTGTTTTTTATTTAATTGAAGATTAGATCTCTTCAGCATGCTTCGGTTGTCGCATTCATAGGTTGACTGCTACTAATGCTTCTCGTGAATATGTTATTACGGACGACCGCAATCTGACATTTACAACTGATATGATTACTTCTTGTACTTGCAAAACATTTGAAAGGATTGGGATATTGTGTCGACATATATTTTTTGTTTTGAAGGACGTCAAGCAAGAGAAGATCCCGGATAGGTATGTTTGCAATCGTTGGTGCAGGATTGCTCTTGTTCAACCAATGTATGAGCTTGACGGGGGTTTGATCGAGCAATGTGTTGAGACTGATGAAAAGAACATGTCCATGAATCAACTTTGCTCTGAGATTTACTCGTGTATTTCTATAGTCGAAGATCAGCCAGTCCTTCTTCAACAATTCGTGGGTTTACTAAAACAACATAAAGAAATGCTACAGTCTTCTTTCCCAATGAATAATGTCATTCCCTCAAAACAGGACATGTTTGCATTGTTTTTGGGCTCTACTGCACCAACCAATGTCACTGTTCTACCACCGCAAGAGGCTAAGAACAAGGGTTCTGGTAAAAGATTGAAAGGCAAGAAAGAATTTATGATTGACGCAACATCAATATTTTTCGCACCACTTGCAAGTTGCGTACGAAAACCCAGTTTGGGCGTCATTCTACTTATCAAAATTATTTTGCATTAGTTTAAATTTACTTTTTTTTCTTACCGGGTTGGGATGAGGTGAGCTCGTCCGCCTCGTCGTGGTTGCCGTCACCATCGCCCGTCTCCGGTTCAAGTTCATCCACATCGTCATCCTCGAGCTCATCTTCGTCAATGGTCGTCGGGATTTGTTCTTGTTGGAGAAAGCGGTTATTGTGTCGGGCCAATTCTTGCTCTAGTTGTCCTTCGGATATCACATCTCCATCCCTCCTTTGGTAACCCGTTTCAAAATCATCTCGGCTTTGAGATGAAGAGACGGCAAGTTCTTTACCTTTGCGGGGTTTCTTCCTCCCAATCTCGTTCCTTCGATGGCGATCGAGGTTACCCATATCAACCGAATATCTACCACCTTCCATCTTAAAAATGTAACAAATATTAATTTGCAACAAATATAATAATGAATACAAAAGTAATGCAACTAATTAAAACTATTTTAATTAATACTTCAAACTAATTTAGTGAAAACTACTTTAATAAAATGTGAAGTACTTTGATAAAGTAATGAATCAAAGTGTGACTCTAAAATAAAAATTGAAATTTGAACTAATCAATAGTATTTTTTAATAAATACTTAAAACTAACAAGTGTGACTTTAACTAAAATGTGAGTAATTAAATTATAGCAACTTTTCAAGTACTTTAATTTAGTGAAAAATACTTTAATAAAATGTTAAGTACTTCAATAAAATTATTGAACTACTCTTTTTTCGTTCAAATATAAATTCAAACTATTATAATGTGACTTTAACTATAATGACAATTAACTACTACCTCCGTCCCGCTAAGTTTGGTACAAGAGAAGGTGGCACGGTTATTAATAAAAGTGAGTTTATGTAGTTGATATTGAATTAATAAAGTAAGAATAAAGTATGAATGATTTAGAACCACACAAACTTTACCATATAAGGTATGAGACAATCTTAGTGGGACGGACCGAAATGGTAAAATGGGGCAATCATAGCGGGCGGAGGGAGTAGTTTTTTAAAGTAGAGGCAAAGGTAGCAATTAATGGGAATACTAATTAACTAGTTAACTAGTTTAATGAAAAATGTAACAATTAGCGGGAATACTAATTAACTAATCAAGTAATGTTAATACAAAATGTAAGTAATAAGACAAATGTATGAATGTGTATACTAATTAATGGGAGTAAATGAGTAATAGAATGATTTTAACTAATATTAATTAAAGTGTAACTAATATATAATATATTGTTTATAGTATATAATATATAAGTATACTACTGTAAGATGAGTAATACACTCATATTTAATACTTTAATATATAGAGTATATATTGTGTGGAATGTATGTATTAAGTAGATATAAGTAGATAATAAGTAGAGATTAAGTAGATAAGAAATATAAGTAATTTAGTATATGTATTTATAAGTAGATAATTAATATATAAGTAGATATAATAATTGTATAAGAATTAAATAGTAAAATATAATGGAGATTGGAGAATAAGAAAATAAGTAGATATGAAATACAAGTAGAGAAGTAGATAATATTATGTATTAAGTACTATTATATACTAATAGTTTATAAAGTATATTTAATACTTTAATATATAAAGTATATATTAAGTAGATGTAGTATATATGTATTAAGTAGATATAAGTAGATAATAAGTAGAGATTAAGTAGATAAGAAATATAAGTAATATAGTATATGTATTTATAAGTAGATAATTAATATATAAGTAGATATAATAATTGTATAAGTATTAAATACTCCCTCCGGTTTTTAATAAACTTCACACATTCCTTTTTGGGACGGTCTAAAATAAACTTCACATTTCCTTATTTCTTTTTTGGGCAAACAAATCTACATCAAAACAGTGCCAAACAGTGTCTCAACAGTGCCAAACAGTGTCTCAACAGTGCCAAACAATGTCTCAACAGTGCCAAACAGTGTCAAACAGTGTCTCAACAGTGTACTCTACAGTAAAGTCAAATTTCTTTCCTTGTTTTGTGTGAAGTCAAAGTGTGAAGATTAAATAAAACTGGAGGGAGTAGTAAAATAAAATATAATGGAGAATAAGAGAATTTGAGAAGATGAATATGTAGATGAGTAGAGAGTAGAGAGTAGGATTTAGGAAGAGTCGGAGAAGAGGTGTGAAAAAATGTTTAAAATTAGGAGTATTTATAGGTTTTTTTAACCCCCACCCCCCACCCCCCAAAAGCCCCGGACCCCCTGGTACCCACCCAACGGCTATGTAGCCGTTTGGGATGTGGGTCAAAGAGCCAAACGACTCTTTAGAATTTAAAGGATTTTTTTTATATAAAAATTTAGCCGTTAGGCCCGGACCCGAGCCCGACCCGGCCTGGCCGGGTCGCCAAAACCAAGCACCAAGCCCCCCCGCCCACGGTTCGGGAACTGACCCGGACCCGAGAACCGGGCCGGTTCCAGGCCCGCACAGTAGCGGGCCGGGTGGCCCGAACCGGGTCCAAGACTAGCCCAATGTATTTCCTTTTTCTAAATGTAATTGTGACACTTTGAGCCAGTTTGGTGATTTTGTTTTGGGAAATTTGAGTTTGCACCCCATTTTATTGTCCAAATTGGACTTTGCATCCCGTTTTTAAACAAACTTTGTTTTTGCACCCAAACCCCATATGAAAAGACAAAAATGTCTCTCCATTAACAATTACGTTGGCATTCAACATATTCTGATCGAGGGCATTTATGTCTTTTCATATGGGGTTGGGGTGCAAAAATAAAATTTTTTAAAAACGGGGTGCAAAGTCCAATTTGGACAATAAAACGGGGTGCAAACTCAGATTACCTCTTTTGTTTTTCGGTTATCAGGTTTATCAGCCAACTTTTTAATCAAATACATGACTTTTGATTTCGCGCGCTGAACTTTGTAATAATAGGAAAAAGTAAGTTTGGAGTTACTTTTCGGGCTGCATTGATTAAAGTTATTGTAGATGATCATTTTAGCTATTTTTTAAATAACTTTTATTTAATTCATAAAATAAATTTTAAATATTTTTCTTAAATCAACAAAATCAGCCAATACAGTCACTTTAGCTAAAATTTCATAAATTTCAGTAGAATCAATTGATTTTAACCGATTTAAGTGTTACCAAATAAGACTCTTTTGATATTAATTTTCTCTTTTTAAAGTGAGAACTACAAATGGTAATATCTAGAAAAGCACAGTGAATTTTGTTTTAGAACTGAGGGTGCAGTAAGGTACATATAATATCAAACTTAACAAGCTAGATTTGTGCAGTTCAAACAAAAATTAATTAAGTAGATCAATTTAGACCAAATCAAACATCAATGACCATTAAAGTCTTCAAATCTAAAAACTTCATTTCAAATAAAATTATAAAAGTATCATGAGTGCCACATATAAGGTTGTGTTTGCTAATGCTTAATAAAAGCACTTTCAGCTTTTTTGGAGGGTAAAAGCTAAATGTAGTGTTTGCAAAAGAAAAATTCAGCTTAATTTAATCACTTTTAAGCCAAAAGCAGGTCTAGGGATGCTTTTTTCTGCTTCTTGGTATTTCCGTAAATTACTTCAACTTTTGGGATGTTTTTATTTCAAAATATATAAATTAATCCAAAAGTACCCTTATCCCAACAAGCATCGTACAGACCATCTTCCATCGTCCCAAGCTTCACGCGACACCCACCTTCCTCCATCAACTAGAAATTGCCGCCAGCCATCTTCCCCACCACCAGTCCACCACTCTTCTTCGGCGCCACTGTAGCTGACCCGCTTCACTGGCACCATAGCTGATTTGCTTCGTCCGCCAAATAGAAATTCTCCATCGCCACTCCCGCAGCAGATTAGCTTCGCCGCCGTCGGTCTGTTTCGTCGCCGCCGCCGGTCTGGTTCACCGCTATTGTTACCTCTCTGTTGTGCCCAAATTCCTTTTACCAATGTTCTATGTGTATATATATTAAATCAAATCCATTCACTATTTATTCTTAAACTCCACAATCCACATACCTAGAAAAAACAGATTAGCAATCCAGATTCCAGGATACCAAGAAGATGTACATATCATTGACCCCTATGGCACTCACCGGAAGAATCTCCCAACGGCACTCTAGCTCATCGGAAATGGGGAAAAGAGATAAAGGAGACAACAGTGGATGCACTATACAAGTTGGGGATATTTTTGTATTTTAACCATACATTACATCAAAAATCACTTTTTTACCAAACACTTCAACTTTTACATTTTAATTAAAATCACTTCTATTCCCAAACACTACCTACTTTTACTATAAACCACTTTTCCAATAATCTCTTAAAAAAATCACTTTTAAAAAGCACAAGCAATCGCAAACACTCCTTAAGTATATAACACACCTCACTTTTTTTATAAACACAGCTCATTTTTTCAACTTCTAACATTTATTTTGTTCTTTATATTTTACAATACGTGCTATCAATAGTACGGCTTTTGTACCATCCCATCTTACTCGGATACCTATTTTTCTTAACAATTCATGTGTTCTATAATTTATTACTTTTCAAATCTAATTTTCCCAACAATGCATAAATACTATGGAGTATTACTTATGTCCCGAAAAATGAAAAATATTTAATATCTTTTATTCCGTGCATCGCACGAGTGAAATCCTAATAGCGTTCAGCCCAAAAATAACATTTTCAATAAGTGAAAATGTTAAGACCTGAGGTTCCATCCTAAAAGGTTAACCTGATAGGAGGAGTAGCTCAAATCTTAATATAGCACATTGTTTATTTGAACTTTTTCGGTGGGATTCTAACACCCCTCCTCACTACCAAACACTTTGTTTGGATCGTGCCGTCATTCATTTTTCGTCGGTTCGTCATTGTCATTTTTTTAATAATCGTGTCGTCATTTTTCATAAAGGGGCCCACCATGGATCGATTTGGCTCTAATACAATGTTAAGATCTGAGGTTCCATCCCAAATAGTTAAAGGTCAACCTGATAGGAGGAGTTGCCCAAATCTTAATATAGCACATTGTTTATTCGAACTTTTCCGGTGTGGGATTCTAACAAAAAATGTTGTGTAGTCAATAATTGTTTTTACCCTAGCGTTTTTGATCGGAACCACTATAAAATGAAAACCCTGCAATTGCTACGTCCAAACCACTTTTAACCTGCTAACTTATTCTGGCAATCAGCTATTAACAACTTATTTCATTAAAACAATTATTTCGGAGACATATATCCTCTTCACCTCTTGTCATTTGTTTATTTACTCCACAGTCCACACTACGTATCTCATAGCTGGCTCGTCAGAGCATATGGATAACTACGTTTTAAACACGGGAGCTATCATCTCTTGGTTCATTTATTATCGGAACGTGAGATCATCGGTTACTATATTACGGAGCATTTAACTTATCAATTCGAAACTATTACAAAAACTTTATGAGCCATAAAGCGTGCTGTATTGCTTACTATTTGACCAAACATGCAATAACTTCAACGAGTGTGTAAAATATGATACACTGTTATCAAATTTGAATCACCATCTTTTTTGGAAACAATTTTGAATTGATTTATGATGTTTTAGTTGAGCTTTCATCAATCTCATATCAAACGAAACCAAACATGAGACAAACCAGAAAATTTCTGCTCCAATTAAAAATATCATTTTTTATTGGATTCTAATAACTAAAAGGAGCCTGCGCTCTTTGATTGACCAAATCTTTGCCAAATACTTCCAAACCATTTGTATTGTCTCAGCACACCGAACTGTTTTTTAGTCTCTCAAGTCTCAACTCTCAACAATTACTGCAAAGTATAAACCATAGTCACATAGTTCGTGGAACGCTTCAGTACGGGAACGAGGATCGGGAACGCGGTTTGCTAGATCTTGTGTATCTGGTTCGGAGGGGTAGGTTCATTCCGGTACGCGTTTGGTACGTTGTACCACATGTTCGGTACACTGTATCTTATATTTTGGTACTAAAATAAAACTGAATTTCAGATATATTTTTTTCAAAATATATATTTTGAAAAAAATAAAACTAATACTCAAAATATATTTTAGTAGCGTTGAAAGAGTACTTTCAATATATATATTCAAGAAAAACTTTAAACAAAATATAAAAAACATTAATACTCAGTATTAAAAAGAAGTCGCTGAAGTGAAGAGTTCGTAACTTTTATTACCCGGAGCAGAAATCAAAAAGGCTAAGGCCTTGTTTGGAAAATGGCTGTTAAATGGTTGTATCAGTTGTTTCCTAACAGCTGGTTGTGTTAGCTGTTTTGACCGGCTGGTTATGTTAGCTGATTATAAATAACTGTTTGATAAAATTGACTGTTTCAAAATGGCTGATAGAGTATAAAAAGACATATATTTTGAATAAATTGAACCAGCTGAATGAAGAAGTTGCTCCCCTTAGCTTCTTCAATCATCCATTTTTCAACTTTTCAAACTCAACAAGATAATTTTAAAAGTCATTTACTAAACATTATCATTAGCTTCTTTGACTAATCAAACAGCTGAAATGGGTCAAACAAGCTAAAAGTTGACTGATAAGTCATTTGCCAAACATACCCTAAGTCGTCTAGTTTCAAAGTTTCAAACAAATGTGTCTCGTTATCCGCATAGGTTATCAACACAAGAAACGACAAGACTATTCGCGACGGGTAGGTCTGCGACAGTCGTTAATGTTCGGAGTTCACGATTTAGCGCGTTCTGGATGGAGTTGCGGTCGACACCAGTTGCGATTGGGAACAGACCTGGGCAGCGATGGCGAACGACTTGAGAAGCAATTGAGATCACTGGTGAAGCGTTTTACACTACGATGTGATCAACGTTTGGAACACTTCCGTACCGCGATTGGGTACGCGGAACGCAGTTGGTGTGTGTTTGAGCGATTTATGTATCTATGGTATAAACACTTTGAAATAAAAGAAAATAAATGTAACACACTTTTGAAACTTTTTCCAGATCAAGTGCATATCCATAATGACAATAACAGCAAATAGATAATTGTTATGGAAAATGATGTGTATTTCCATTTTATATCATTTAGTTACATCCATACTGCTGAGTGCTGACGCTGACCACTTACTTCAACTATTTTCAGTCTGCCCCCTGCATTTGCGAGTATTTATTTATTTATTTATTTATTTATTATTTATATATAGAAGGGGCAGAATTTGAAAGAAAATATTAGATGGTTCAGGGGAAGGATGGCTCAGGCTTCTCTAACCCCTCCAAGGGGCGAAAGAAGGCCTTCTGCTCCAACACTGAATCTGGTGGTGCAAAGCCCTCACCGGCAGCGGCGGCGCCCCCAGATGTTGTATTAACCGTGTCTGGTCCAAATACGCCGGTTTGAGGGTGAGGAGCCCAGTACTTGTCTGATTGGGCCTCGATTATTTCATCCGGCACAGCGGAGGGTTGGGCATGCTCCTCGATGTTCTTGTCGTATGCCGATGCATGCACGGCCCTCCTGCACATCCGAAAACCGCCATTATGAATAGAGAAGGGAAGACAAATAATGGCTTCAAAGTACCTACTATAGATGATGATGAATAATGATGATGATGATGATATAATACTCCGTATTAACAAGTTCATGTTCAGTAACCTTGTTTTTGATTCATGAGCCTTGTCAAGAATGTCAACTAATTTTGTAAGTTGTAACAAAAGCATTAATTTTTAAATTTCACTAACTAACAATTAATAACGAAAACTCAAGTAAGCTCGGTGTACTTGTTGGCTACATTGACCATTTTAATTTTTAATTTAGTTTTCACAACACTAAATTGACTTTTAATTAAGATCTACTCTGTAGCTAACAATATTGACTAAGTAATAACTAACCGGTAAGCACCCTAAAGGGGTTTTGACTTTATTTATTAGCTAAAATAGATTTTCACACTAAATTCAGAAGCCCAGCAAATTGGAGGAGTGTGAAAACTGAACATAACAAAGATCACTATAATTATCGAGATTAATATTCTTTTTGAAAGAGGTTAATTTTAAGCAATCTAATTTACTCGTAGTGAGAGTATATATAATATATGTAGGCTGCCTAAACTCCAGCCTTGCCGCACTACCGGCATGGATAAGATGAAGAGTCGAAGACTGTTAAATGTCCCAAACCGGAAAAATTTGGATGAACAAAATGTTATATTAAAACATGAGTTACTCCTCCTATCAGGTTGCCTTTTAGGATGGAACCCCGTGTCTTAAAATGGTATCAGAGCCAAATCGATCCATGGTGTGGAACCCCTTATGAAAAATGATGACACGATTATAAAAAATAAAAATTACGGCCGGATGAAAAAAAACGGACCGACAAAAAAAATATATGATGGCAAGATCCAGACGGATCATGAGGAGGGATGTTAAATGTCCCACATTAGAAAAGTTTGAATGAACAAAATGCTATATTAAAACATGAGTAACTCCTCCTATCAGGTTGACCTTTTAGGATGGAAACTCGTGTCTTAAAATGGTATCAGAGCCAAATCGATCCATGGTGTGGAGCCCCTTATGAAAAATGATGACACGATTATAAAAAATGAAAGTTACGGCCGGATGAAAAAAACGGACCGACGAAAAAAATAAATGATGGCAAGATCCAGACGGATCATGAGGAGGGATGTTAAATGTCCCACATTAGAAAAGTTTGAATGAACAAAATGATATATTAATACATGAACTACTCCCCCTGATTCCCCCTATCAGGTTGACCTTTTAAGATGGAACTCCGTGTCTTAACAAAGACAACACACAAAAGATTCCGAGGTGGTAGGTGTGTGATGAGGTCAGGAGGAGACAGGAGGTAGATGAATGGGACGGAGATGGAAATGAGATGGTTTGATTTCCAAAGGTATGGTGGCCCTTGAGCTGGATGATGATAAAATGGACAGAAAAATATGGCCCAGAAAACGTGAAGACCTTTTCGTTTCAAAAATAAGGCAAGCACGTAACAGAAGATGTTACACAGTTGCACTCTTATTCAAAGATAAGATAAGATATACTCTCCATACTACCACTTTGTCCGTTTTGGACGGTTAAGAGCCCGTTTGGTAGCACCAAAATCGGCTGTTTTGGTTGATTCTGCTGAAATTTATGATATTCTGGCTGGAGTGGCTGTTTTGGCTAGTTCTGCTGATTTAAGAAAAAAATATTTTAAAAATATATTTTATTAATAAATTAAAGAAAAAATTATATGTAAAAATAGGTAAAATGGTCCTCTACAGTAACTTCAGCCAATACAACCAGAAAAGTAACTCCAACCTTACTTTTTCGGTTTATTACACAATTCAGCGCGCGAAAGTAAAAGTTACGTGTTTGATGAAAAAGCTGGCTGATAAGCTTGATAAGCCGAAAACAGAGTTCTCCAAACAGGTTCTAAACTTTCTCATTTCTATTCAAATAACAAATAATTAACACTCCTAAATGAATAATTAATAATGAAAACAATATACTTATAATATTACGTACGATTACCTTCAATGACTTCATTATGTTATATATTCATCAAAACTAACTCTAAAAATATGAATCGAATTACTTTATATATTCCCTCCGTCCCATTGGACTTGTTCCAAAAACCTTTGTCACTTTTCTATTAAAGCAACTAATTTGTGATTCTGCATATTTCTCTCTCCTCTGCACAAATTTCAACCACACGATTCTTACTATTCTTATTACTCACCTAACTTGCACTTGGCAAAGTGTACCTTAGTGACATATTAGACCAGGCCTAGATTGTTTTACAAGACCAAATAATACATAATTCAAATTTATCTTTGTGATAAATATCCACATTTGAAAAAAAATCCTATCTTTGTTATAAGTTGCGTCTATTTGAAAGTTTGGACAAAAACCTGATAGGTGTATAATTGTACTACTATAAATGAATGAACTAACCAACCTTAAAGAAGAGTTGTCGGTATTAGGTAACATAGTACCGAACAATCAAACAAAAAATTACTACTCCGTATTTTCTAATAACATTAATTGAACCTAATCCACCCAAGAGATATATTAGTCATAACTGGCACGTTATCATGATATGGACTCCTTAACATTGATAATTACTACTAGTATGATAAGTTATCAATGAAAACCCAATGACATAAAGAAGGGTCGGCAGATATTGAATGAAAACGGCAGCCTCAACCACTACTTGTACGGTTGTACCACATGAACTAATACTGGAACCGCATATTTATTACTTCTCCAGATGTAAATTATTTCTATATGACACTCCTTATCTCCCAAGTCCTAAGATAAGCTATTTCATCGTTTCATTTTTATTAGGATCGTGACCGAGTACTTTTTACTTGTCTCCACTAAAGGGGTGTGGAGATATAGAACTAAAGTTACTAAACCAAATCCGGAAGGTAGACCATGGAATCCAGCCGATTGAACCAAAAAATATTTGGACTAATATTACAAATGCGGAATTCGTTCCATTTAAAAATTAAAACCAGGCAAGTTTTGAACCGATTAGTTTTGGTAGTCTGAAATGAACCGAGTGTCCGGTTCGATTTTTCGGTTACAATTTTTGTACTGGTTCTAGCTAGATCCGGTTGTGTACTGCTCCACGCTGAGCAATTAAGAATAAGAAGTGCCATTTATTAAAGAAAGTTAATCATCACTTAACAAATGAACAATGTCCACAATTCCCACCAACAACGAATAATTCCCGTACTATCATAATTAAGGTCGCTGCTTCACAAAGTTAACTCCCTCCAGCCCCACATGTCCTAATTAATAACTTTTCATAAGTGCATACTGTATCAGTGCCATAGAACTTTTAATTGGTACATAGAAAAGAAAAAGTTCATAACAAGCAAAAAAATCTTATAAACCATAAAGTAGTCATTAAAAATAAAAAAAAATAGAAAATATAAAGAATAACTAATCAATAAACCCCCTTAAAATTGATTTTTTTTACCAGCTTAAAGTTGAATATTTTTTGAAACAGTATATTTTCGACAATTCTTTTCATATTCTGGAGTATTGTTTTGTTTTGTACTTTTAATATTCACTCTAGGGAATCATACCCCTCTTCGGTTGACATCAACAGTATAAAGATCAAAGAATGTTACGTACAGAGTAATAGATTGGCGAAGTACTTCTCTTACCAGGCAAAAACACCTTTATTTTGCTATGGTGATAGAAAAATAATACGGAGTAACAAAATCTTAAAAAAATACCATCTCTTAAACCAGCAAACTGGAAATCACTACCTACCACTAAACAGTAATCGGGGATGTGAAAGACAAAACCTTTAAATCTATTAGTTGTAAGAAAAAGTTCAGACCATTAGTCGAAACACCACTATGGTAAGCAGCCCTCGCCGGGGAAGACATCGATATCAATGTGTGAAAAAATTACTTACAAATTACAAAACATACAATATTCATAATTTCATACCCCGTTAATGAAAGATGAAGATTTGGCCCTGAATGTAATTTGTCAATCTATAAATCTTTTATCTTTATACGACATTTCTCCTACACCACTCTGTAATCAATTGAACTCATTTCGCTAAATCACATAGCAAATTTAACGCGTTAGACTGAAAAACAGATTATATACATGCATAATTTCCATTAGAGATCGATCAACTGGCCAAATTATATTAAAAAAACTTTCAAATTGGTGCTACCATTCCACCATCATGATCATCATCAGCTACTACAGATCGATCAAATTTGTAAAAATTGCACAGAGAGACCGAAACAAAACTCCACTCAAGCTTTTATATTGAAGTATATCTCCAAGAGAATGCTTATAACTAAGTAGGTTCCCAATGTTTTTCCTCTCAATACAGGGAAACGGAAATGAAGATATAATAATACCGCAAAAAACAGTTTACGGCATCACAAACCAAAAAGATAAAATGGCAATTTTAAAACATAAAAAAATGCACCGCTTCAAAATAGACTATTGACCTCTAATTTCGAGAATTTTTAATGGAACCAAATAACTCTGTTTTATGAATAAGACATAACCACTCCTATTTGTGCATTTTTCTCTATTTTACTACTATTTTGCCAATTTCCTTACAAAAATACTCCATAAGAGCGATTATGCATGTATTTCAACGAATCAACACCGTATAAATCCGTATCATACCAAAGCTCATACGGCGTAGAATACCTAGAGAGAGAAGCAGAAGAGCCGGTACGATTAGTTGAGGTTATCTTGCCCCGGAACAGCTTCCCCAAGCTCGCGACTCCTCGGCTCTGCAAATTGGCGGCCATACAATACGGCTTATCGGCTATTGAGATGGAGAGAGAGAGTGGTAACCGCTCTGCTTTCTAGAGAGAGAAAGAGTGAAATTTCTTAGTTTCTGAGAGGATAAACAATGGGCGTGGATATAGCCCTCAATTTATAAAAAAAAGGATGACACCCCATCCCTGAGGGCCCCCAACACCGACCGGACGGCACGACGGGAGGATGTAAGTTGGACTATAATCACAATCTGACAGATAGAGAGTGGGGCTCTGTCCCCGGTACTTGCAGGAGCCCTATGCATTTTTCAGCATAGTAACCCCTCATCGCAGTTGTCGGGATTCGAACCCAAGACCTAACCCCTGTGGCACTCCCTCGCTGCCAGTTGAGCTACGCCCACTGGTAGCCCTCAATTTATATTAGTTGGGGAGGAGGAAGAGGGTACGGTCCGTGCTACCTACCGGACATCTGTCTCTGTTTCCCTCGTCAGCACTTATCTGGCTACCACCCAAGTACCACGGTCTACGGCGTCTCGTTCCGTCAATATCTTAACGCCGTCTGTAAACGGTGGCCGTTAGCGTCGTTTAGTTCCGGGATGGATATGCGCTGTACAATTTTAGCCACGTATTTCTGTGTAGGAAAACGGGGTTTGTCCCAAATGTACAACGTATCGGTGTGACTAAAGTATAAAGTCCAATATGACTATATGTCATATGTGCACCTTTTTATCAGAAACAATAATCATTTTTTTTTATTAAATGTGTGAATTTCTATTTTGGGCGTTGAATAAAATAATAATCAAAATATTGAAATTATATTTTTTACTTAAATTAGCTGAAATTGCTAACGTGAATTATCTTAAATATAGTTTTTCATTATGTGCAGTTTCAATCTAATTGTCTATATCAAAATTTCATAAGTTTCAATAGATTCAAACGATTTAACAAATTTTATAGCTCGTTTGATAACACACAACAACAACAATAACCTTAATTTCAAAAGATTTTGATAACACTGCAATTGGGTGAGGATTGATTAAATTTCAACTAAAGTGGTTGAATTTGTTGAGCTATATCAAAATTACATGTAAATTATATTTCATTAATAGAGTTAAGAAAATATTAAACGGACAACATAGCTAAAAAAATTCTTTTCTTTTTTTAGCTAAAAAATTTCTTTATAGTAGCTTTAATTAATCAATTGAATTAGAAAAATAACTTCAACTTTATTTATTATAGTTATCGATCAATTTAGTCCTCATTCTAAAAGGTTGCGTGTTTAATAAAAAAAAAGTTGATTAGACAGATAAATTGAAAATAAGGGTTACCAATCGGCTATTCAGTGATGTCAAACATGTTTAAGAAGTTTAAATAACTACTTTGTTAAAAGAAAATCATCATAGAAAAATATGAATAAGTATTAGTCATGCGCAACAGCGCAAGCAATCATTTTAAAGTTAGTTGTATCATTTGAAATAATTATAAACACCCTTTCTCGTGTATCCTATACAAATTATGCTATTTCAATTTCAATTGATTGTTTTTTAATAACTTTGACCTCATCCTGCTCCGATGACCCGATGCCTTGTCAGCTTTGCAAATTTTAACGTTTTGAATAGAAGATGATTAATTTCATCATGCCAAAGAAATTTTGAAGGAAAAAAAAAAGAATTTTCGAAAAACGGAGTACTAGTCTACTGAATAATGCTGGCATAATGTACAAATTAAAGATGTTGTTGATGAATTTAGAAGTCTAGAAGAATAGAAGATGAGCTTGATTACAAAACTAGTTTAAAGATGATATGGAATTACAGTGAGTGATGATTAACTATAACAATGAGCAAGTTAATACTTAATGGTCATTTCAATTAATGGATGTTTCATTTGCTTCGTTAGTTTGGTCTCATTTTTTATGCATTGATGCATGTCATATGTGCAACACGTTGTCAAGTTTTGCAGATTCAAGAGAAAAATTGAATAAAAGAAGTTCGCAATTAAAAAAAATACATTCATTCATACTTAATTACCAACATCTCTTATACGATTGTTTTCAAAATTTTCAAAAAAAAAAGTTATCATGTTTATTACTACGTATTTATTTATTCTTTGAAAAGTTCCAATCACATACAGAGTAATTTGTATTAAAATAAATAAAAATTTTATTTTGGTGAAGCGCGTACTAAAAATAGTTTTATATTTTACAAATCTCAATATATATCATGAGCATGACTTTAAAAAACAAAAAAAAAAAACATAAAAAAAAACTCATGAGCATGACTTCTTTTTTTATCGAAGCATAACTGCATAAGTGCAAAATATAATAAAATCCTTCATATTCTAGCTAGCTATCTCCCCTCACTTAGCATGACCTTGAATTTAGGAAATCAAACTCTCAAACGTGGATTACATGGTAGGAAAATTCTACCGTACCTTTATTAATTTTCAAGGCACCGGTACACAAAGTTTGAAAGTCAATCAAATTATAATATGGTGCCACGTCACACCAATAAAAGTATACTCTATAGTAATTTGTTAGGGAGTATTATGTATTACGGGCCTTACGGCAGGCCGGCAAAGCGGCAAACCCAGGAAATTAAACCAGGAAGGTTGTAGAGGGTGTTGAACCACCGTTGCCGTTGAGAGAGGGAGTGAGTGAGAGTGCGCAGAGCATCATCGATGGCTGCCGGTTTTGATTTTTGCCGCCGTGGACCTGCGGGTATTTTCCGAAAGCCATTGCTGGAGCCTGAAGAGAAAAGCAATTTTTGGGATCGATTCTGGCTCATCACTTTGATTCTCGGCTGGACTGAATTTGTTAGCATTTACATCGGATGCTAATGCACCATAAAAACTCAGAGCTTTTGTTAATTTCAAAGGCACCGGTACCCAGGTTTGTGAGCCAATCAAATTATGCCACATCACCTCCTATACTAATACACTACGTATACTTACTCTATAATTATGCATCATAATCTACTCCATGTCTCCATATAATTACACTGTATAATTTCTCCGTATAGTAATATACTCCGTATATAATTCTGTATATGTCAAGCCGGCTGGCAAACCCGTGAAGGTTGCAGATGAAGTAGAACCCACTGACGCAGCAAAGAAGAAGAGTTGCCGAGTAAGGTGATGAAGGAGAGACAGATGGTTATCAGAAATTCGATTAATTTTCGCTGCCGGTGTTTGCCGAAAACTGTTGATGCCGCTAGAAGTGAAAAAACAGTTTTTGTAGACCGCTGGTGAAGGTCATAATTGAGAAAGGCTATTGCAAAATCTACGTAGTATTTTTTGTAGACCGCTTGAGTTTTGATTAAAAAAATTCAGAGCTTTACTAGATGTACTCGATCAATCGCAAATATGAAAAATTCTTTTCGTACACCTTGAGTTACACTTTGGTGTACACCCTATATAACCCCTCATTTCTTATATCTCTTCTCCCAACTTTTTTCTCTCCACTCTCTTCTCTCCACTCCTCTCCCATTTGAATCATACGGATCCCCCTCCCTCATCTCTTTCTTCTTTCCTTTTCTTCTTCTTCAACATCTTGTTCTTTCTTCTTTCTTTCTTCCTTTCTCCTTCATCTTCTTCTTATTCTTCTTCTTCTTTCCTTCTCTTTTTTAGGTTTTATTCACCCTAATCATCTTCATTATTTTCATCACCATCTTCTTCTTTTTCTTTCCTTCTCACTTTTTACGTTTTATCCACACCGACACTGGTTTGCTATAGTTTCTGTGTACACAGACGAAAATTGTATATATACAGACACTTTTTTTATACAAGACAACTAACGTCTGTGTACACCGACACTTGTTTTCCAACTAATTTTTTCACACCGACACTTTTTTGTCTACACAGACAACTAACGTCTGTGTACACCGACACTTGTTTTCCAACTAATTTTTTCACAGTGACACTTTTTTGTCTATACAGACAACTAACGTCTGTGTACACCGACACTTGTTTTCCAACTAATTTTTTCACACCGACACTTTTTTGTCTACACAGACAACTAACGTCTGTGTACACCGACACTTGTTTTCCAACTAATTTTTTCACACCGACACTTTTTTGTCTACACAGACAACTAACGTCTGTGTACACTGACACTTGTTTTCCAATTAATTTTTCACACCAACACTTTTTTGTCTGTGTACACCGACATTGGTTTCCGTGCAACCACCCTGACAGATCTAGTAACTAATTTTACTCACACAGACACTTTTAGTAAAAGTGTCTGTATTTGTGTGTGTTTTGTCTGTGAGAAGGGCAAATAAATGGGTGTACCCCAGGGTGTAACCTAGGGTGTACACCAAGAACTATTGCGCAAATATTTCTAATCTTTAACTTAAGTCGGTAGCGTTTTCTAATGATTTAAATTTACACGTGTAATATTGTAAGTGGGTCAGTTGTGAAAATGTACGATACACCTCTTAATCAGTTGTGAAAATTTACACGTGTATAACAATGAGCAAGTTAATACTTAATGGTCATTTCAATTAATGGATGTTTCATTTACTTCGTTAGTTTGGTCTCATTTTTTATGCATTGATGCATGTCATATGTGCAACACGTTGTCAAGTTTTGCAGATTCAATAGAAAAATTGAATAAAAGAAGTTCGCAATTAAAAAAATTACATTCATTCATACTTAATTACCAACATCTCTTATACGATTGTTTTCAAAATTTTCAAAAAAAAAAGTTATGATGTTTATTACGGAGTATTTATTTATTCTTTGAAAAGTTTCAATCACATACGGAGTAATTTGTATTAAAATAAATAAAAATTTTATTTTGGTGAAGCGCATACTAAAAATAGTTTTATGTTTTACAAATCTCAATATATATCATGAGCATGACTTATTTTTTTATCGAAGCATAACTGCATGCATTAGTGCAAAATATAATAAAATCCTTCATATTATATTCTAGCTAGCTATCTCCCTTCACTTAGCATGACCTTGAATTTAAGAAATCAAACTCTCAAACGTGGATTACATGGTATTATGGAAATTGATTTATTTTTAACGAGAGTTCAATTTCTTTCATTCATTATCTCATTTTTCATTAATTAATTGTTTCCATTTCAGTACGCGTAAATAAATGAAATGATGATAACACATAATATATACTACTATACATAGTTTTTACTTATGTGTGTATGATCAGTTTCATGTTGCTTCTTAAGATATGATGTGTTCTACACGATTATATATTTTACATGTGGTCGTGTGGATCACGGATCACTACCTCAGATGAGATTGAAGAGTAGAGCATAATCATTGACTTGCACTATTGGAACTATGGAATTAAATTGTGGATGCAACACCTATTGTGGCTGTAATATTATTGTATGTACGGACTGCATCACAACCGCAT